ATCTTCAAAAAACATTACCAGGATGGAATGCTGGACAGTTAACCTTGGCGGGAAACTCCCTTCCTCCACATGCGCAGTAAGATGGTCAGATTAGCGTCTAGAATTTTCTCCAGCACATAATGATTCCCTTCCCAAATACCATGCCCCCCCTCCCCGTTTCAATGGCAGCCGAAGCAGCAGCAAAGCAGAGGCTGACAAGAACTTTTTAAAAAATCATAATTGACTTATAATCATTCTATTTTTAGAGCATAGTTCAGTGGCTAAGCAGATAGTCTGCATGCAGGTAGAAGGGGATCAGTTGTGGTACAAAGAGATCTTTACAAGATTTTCAGAAATAGTTAATTACTTGGTTCTTCAAAGATTTTAGGAAACAAATATTGCATTAATTTTCAAAATAAGGTATTTATGTTATTCATGTCACCTAGACCTGGTAATTTATCATTTACACACATTGGACAATTTTTTTTTTGCTACATTGCTTTTCCATTCTTTCTCCAGGACTTCAGTCCCATTCACTCATCCCATTTTAATCTCACAAAAACATTATGAGGTAGCTAAGAAGGAAGAATTGTCTTCTTGATTATGTAGAACTTAAGCATTTCTTCATTTTTTTGTAGGAGCTGTAAATTAAAGAAATGGATGGCCTTATAGAATGCATGTCTTAAAAGTTGCACTTGACATTGATAATCTTAATAGCTGAAGTAACCTGTCGAAGTAAAGCAATGAAAGGAAAAGCTGCACCTATTCAACATTGTCTTGTTTGATAGTCATGACAGGCATATGAGCTTGCACTGGATAAAGCAGGAGTCCCCAATCTCCATGCCCGGCACCAGTCTGTAGTCCGCCACAAACCGGGCTACACAAATGGCAGAAGCTCAATCTATAGGCAACATACAAAACCACACTCCCTCCCTAGTCTGTGGAAAAACTGCTCTCCACAGAACCACTCCCTGGCTCCTAAAAGATTGGGAGCTGCTGGGATAAAGAATTACAAGAGAGGTTGAGTTTGAGAAGTTAAAAACTTCATTGCAAAAATTAACTTTGGATTAATTTTGGATTAATAATTATGGTCCTTGTATGGTCCTTGTATAATTGGGTATGTACTAACAGAATAAAATTCTGCACTTAACACATACACTTATCATATGTTCATACTAATTCAAGCAACTTGCTTTTTCCAAAAGGTTGATATGATAGAGAAAAACTAAAACATTTACTTATCAAATTTATTCATCAGATTTGACTACTGCCCATTGCCCTCTTGGAAAAACATAAGAAACTTATGTCTTTCATGCTTTCCAGTTGCCATAACAACAATTCACATTGAAATGTTTAATAATTTTGTGTAGATATTGCAGTACACTTTGTACAATTGATTATTTGATAAGTGAAAATTAAAATTTAATTAATGGCTTAATCTATTTTAAACAAAATGCTTTTTGATGATTTGTTAGACATGGCATCTCAATTTCCTGCTTCATAATTTAATTCTGTTCCATGGACCAAGTACCCTGATCCTATACCTAGCTATGGCTTGAATCCTTTGATAGATGCCAAATCATGAAAACAGAAAGAAATGGTGATAAGATAAAATAAGATAAATAGATGTCTCAAAATTGGAAGGAGTGCAGCAGTTATAATTTTAAATTGTCCCCATTATAAATCTAGTTAAAATACCAATTGTTCTTTGCCTGGCAAAAAATAACATTCAAAAGAGATTGTCTGAGTTTATAAGCATTAAAGTTCTTTAACTATAGAATGTGATTTCTCAAGAACAAGTTGACATCTTTTGCAAAATTCATCTAGCCTGCTTTATATTTAAATCTGGTAGTCTGGTTCTCAATTAAATCTGAAACATATGACTATCCTTGGTATTGTTTATTTTGGAGGGCTAGCTCATAAATGCAGCAGATGTGACTCGTATACAGGAATGAGCTATCATTACAAAAAGAATTTAAAGAATAATTTCTAAAATGATGTTTTACAATAGAATACATTGGTTGTTTGAGCAGGTTTTTGAAGAATTGATATGGTGTAGGAATGTCCTGGCACACTCGTACCACTTCTTGTTAGCCTTCTGTTCATTCCTCTCTGATAAGGGGAAACATCAGAATGTAATTTTCTTTCCCATTTACAAATTGCCTATTTTCTTTTCATGTCCAACAAATCCAATGACTGAATAGGAAAACATGCAGAGATACTATTTACAGAATACAAATAAGTTGGAAGGGACTTTGGAGATCTTCTAGTCCAATTGTTTAAGCAGGAAACTGTGTATCATTTTAAATAAATGGCAGCCCAATATCTTCTTAAAAACTACTTTTAAGCAGGCATTGTAGGTGGGAAATCTTTTCTGGTTTAGTTATGATCCTGTGGAGTCCTTGGTGCTCTCTTAATTTGATTGTTTGCTTGACAGTGTACTTATTACCCAACTAGCTCACATCAGGAGCATTATGATGTTACTTGGTCAATCATGTAATGAAACATCTGCAAGCAAGCAAGCTCAGAGGACACTGAAGACTCCATAGTTCAGGGGTGTCATACTGGTGTGTCATGTGCAGACCATGCCTATCCCAGCTCCTCAAAGGGAAAAACCTTGCAATACATCAGTGACAGCAACATGACGCTACAAATTTTACATGCATGCCATAGTTCAACCCTAAAACACAATATATTCTCATTTGTTGTTTCTATCATTTTGTTTGTTGTTCTTTCTCTTTCTTCA